TGGGGGGAGGGGGTGGGTTCCTACTTTATTTCTCAACTGCCTCAAATCATTTTTAAAGTTATAGAGAAGAAATATAAGATGAAAGATGCTTTATGTCAGTGCTCTCATTCTATACTAATAATTCTATAACCAGATTTCAGTTTCCAGAACTTGGAAGTCATCTTGTATTTTGAATATTAACTGAAATAAGAAAAGGTTCTGGTCACTACTCATAATAAATTTCTAACAATCATTTGACCAAACATATCAAATTAGAAATAAAGGTGGTTATATAATTCAAAGAACTTAATCAGTGCCAGGAAGTTGTACATGTAAAGCTGTATAAGAAAAGAAAAGAAATAAAAATACTCTAATTAAAAGTTCTAAGATTTTTAATATTTATTATATATGGTACACTTCTATAAGATGAAAATGAATTAAAGTTAGGAATTAAGATTTTATAATGTAAAAATTGAGTTGAATTAAGTTAAATTATGTTTACACATAGAAAAATTTAGAAATTTAAAAAGTAATTCTTTTTACCAAATGGATATTGGTTTAGCAACTTTAAACCACTTTAAGTAGCATCAAGAGAAATTATAGTATTCCAAAGACGGATTATTTCACGTTTTCCAAACAAATAACTTTAATATTTTGAGATTTAAAAAAAAAGCACAAAAGAAAATTGCATCAGCCAGGAAGATGTGAAAGGCACAAAGATTTTATAAGTGTATTAAGTAAAGGGAAATTTGAAATAGCTGAAGGAAGTGAAAAAGAGTATGTCAATAATGCAATTAAAATGGTTTTTGAAGAGGCATATTTTTAAAATAAATATCGTCTATATAAAACAAAACATGCTTTAAACAAGTACAAATGGTTAGTACACAAAAATGTAGCAACTGTCAAACTACCAATTTGCTTAAACTAGAAAAATTACTAACTTGTTTCATAACTCTAAACAAACAAACAAAACAGTATATTTTTGGTACTCAAAGCTAACGTGCCTCCAAATTTAAAAGTTACAAAATTTGGGTTTAGAAAATGTCACTCTATGATTGTTCTAATTTATTTTGTCATATCATGACAAAACAAAGTATCTTCAAAATGTTCTCTGTACTTAATGTATGTAATGTAAACTTTTACATCAATATATCAACATATACTTAAATACCCTCTTAGTATAAGCAGGAACTATAAATGACAATGCCAGCGAGGAACTTAATACCTGTCAATTCACATACAAGCACAGTTAATTATCAATCTGACTAGGTACTGATATTTAAAGAACAAGGTTAGCCACACTATCTCCTAGCATAATTGAATATCATGCTAACATTGTCATTAACTGACTACCAATTTCATTATCTTCATATGCTTCTCTATAATCCTTGTCTCCAGCTTGGAATAGCCCTACAAAGAAAAAGAAAATAGCATTATTAAGAGTATAACCCAACCAAACCTACTGCCATCAATCCATTTCTTACTCATAACAACCCTATAAAGGGCTTGTTGTTAAGTGCCATCAAGTCGGTTCTGACTCATAGAGACCCTGTATAGGGTTTCCAAGGAGTGATTGGTGAGTTTAAACCGCTGACCTTGTGGTTCAAATCAATTTTGCAGTCCAGTGCTTTATCTTTCTTCCACTATTAAGAGTGGTGGTGGTGGTGGTGGTGTGCTTTGGAGTTGGTTCCAATTCATAGTGACCCTATGTAAATCTTTATGGGAGCAGAAAGCCTCATCATTCTCCCGCGGAACAGCTGGTATTTTCAAACTGCTGACCTTGATGTTAGCAGCCCAACTCAAAACCACTACGCTACCATAGCTCCTTGCTATTCAGAGTATAATCCCCACTGCCTTAGCAAGTCAATTCCAATTTACAGAGACACTGTACAGTTTTTCTGAGACTGTAAAGCTTCATAGAAACACACAGTGTCATCTTTCTCCCATAGAGTGGCTGTTAGGTTTGAACTGTTGACCCAACAGTTAGCAATCCAGTGCTTATCGTTGAGAACCAATGTATACATATATACTTTATCAACTTTTCATTATAAAATACAATACATATAAGTAAATTAGAAAAATGTCAAATTATTATCAAGTAAACAGCCATTTTCATTTCTTTTTACCTATGTGGGATATATAGAAGTGGCCCAGAGCCTGTTGATCCTATCTTTTTGGTCCGTTCTTCCCAACCTTTGGTAGGTTTGTGAAGCCTAGAAGGATCTCTACTAACATTGTTTTCAACCTGTAAACAGAATTAAAATGAGTGCCGGTTAATCTACATGAATTATTATGTTTGTATTCATAAATGAGTAAGATGATCTTTGGCAACAGATTCTTTGATATAGGTAAACAGTAATAAAATTATTAATAACCCTTCAGTAAAACTGTAATTATATTGAGGCTAAAATAAAATGAGAACTAAGTCAGTGTATTACCAAACTAGTTTGTTTTTGCTATCGCTATTATTATTATTTTCTACTATGAAGCAAATACAATATACCTAAGTATAATAGTGATGTGATCAGACAGTAAATTTAGGATAAATAAGCTGAGTGATACAAATAGTTAAGTGCTCAGCTGCAAACCAAAAGGTTGAAAGTTTGAGTCCATCCAGAGGTACCTCGGAAGAAAAGAGCAACAACACCTTTATTCTGAGTGTTACCAGCGAAAGTAAGCAATAGGTCTAAGAGAAAGGCTCACATAGACGGAAGGAAGAACAGAATGATGAGTAGGAAGAGAAATAATTTACGAAAAAGAGGTGCCAATGGTTGTTTAATTGCACTAAACTATACTTTCAAAAATGGAAATTAGTAAGAGCTCAATTTATACGACATGGTGTAGGAATAAGACAGGATATAAAGAAACTGCATTTGATGTCTGAATCCTTAACAAATCAAGGAATTAGGACAAAAAGAATAAAAATTAATCTTAGTACATAGTACCTTTTCTTTTAATTTTGCCCATCTTCTTTGTTTTTCTGCCTTTTCATCTTCCTTTGTCTGTCTATCTAGAATTTTCAATTGAAGTTTATGTAAATCCTAAAAAAGATAAAATGTCAAAAAAAAAGAAATTAAGAGAAGTAAAATTAACTTACTTTACTCAGAAAAGTTAATTCAAAGGTCAGTTGTTTACAAGTAAAATGAAGCTACATTACATATTAGTACTATCTCAATATTAACCTTTTCTAACAAAGGCAAAAAGATTTATTTTTTCTGAATATAAATGTTATATGTATCCTTTTGAAGTCTGACATTCTATTTCTAAAAATCAACCACTGAGAATTCTAAAGAGTGTAGTCATACTGTAACACACATGGGGAATCACCTCAATGGCAACAGGTTTTGAGTTGCCGTTTTCTTTTTATAGGTTAGTTATACTCATTTTCATATATATATATATGGTCTTCGTTCTTGTGTTACTTATATGATCTCATATTACTTAGTACTCATATTACTTATGTAACACCTTTTGCCCTTAATTTTTTGCATAGAATGTTTTGTGATATAGGAAGTTTCTTTGTGTGGATTAAAAGAAATTAACAAAAATTTTCTCTATTAGTGAGTTTTTTAATCTATTATTTTTTTGACTTCCCTTATTTTCTGCATTATGTATGTTACGCTATGTATTTTGATGTACAAGTACTTACAGCAGTCATATCTCATTTGTACCCTTTTTCATTTTAAAGTATTTTTCCTTGTTTTATTTAATACTTTTTGGACTGAATTTTACCTTTGCTGGTAACTCTTGAACTCCTTCCTGGTATATATTCACTTTAAATCATCTATAATTCCACCACCAGCAATAACCTTGACTGATGTAAGTATCAATGATGCACCAGACCAGGGAGAACAGGGATGAATGAAAACAGCAAAACCTCTGCTCTCGTGGAGCTTGCATTATGGTGAGGAGATGGACAATGAACAAATTATGAAAAAACCAAAGCCATCTTGGGGGTAAAGCCAGCCCATAATGTAGGGAAGGCAAGGTATTCACGGTCTGGCCTGTGGCTCCCTTTCCACTTCCTACTTTATGTCCTAATTCTGAAGTGTTTAGAGTTTCCTCAACAAGCCATGCTGTTGTATTCCTTTAGGCTGCAAACTCATGCTGTTTCCTCAGCTAGCAGAGGCATTTCTTCTTTCTCTCTCTCTCTCAAGACTCCACCTAAGTCTCATATTCTCTGATACTCATAGCTGTGGTTATCTGTACTCTCTGTACATTCACCTCCTAAAATACTCTGTGCACACTTCAATCACATTATTCACATTTTACTGAAATCTCCTACGTGCACATCTAACTTGCCCACAAGTTTTCTACTAGATGACAAGCTACACAAACTAAGAAAGTTTTGATAAGCTGATGCTGTGTACAGGTCAATATGTAAGAAGCCTCAATAAATTTTTGCTGAGCTGAATGTGGAAGTAATAATTCAAGTGTAACATTAAAAAATTACATGTATTTAGGAAACATATTTACTCACTCTTTCTTGAAACCTGGAAATTTCATCTGTGGCAGTTTTCCTTTTTTCTGCCTTGTCTGCCTTTTCTCTTATCTCCTTTTCAAGCCTCAAAAATTCTTCCTGTTCTTTCTTCTGTTGAGTATAACTTTCTAGCAGTAATTTTAGTTTAGACTGACGTTGGCGTTCTTTCTGCTGTTTTTTCTCTCTCTCTTCTTCATCTTTCAACTGAGAAGCATTTTTCATTGACAGTTCTATGCTTTTCTGTTTTTTCCAAGCTTCAACTGCCAATTTCTGTTTTTTTCTTTCTTCGTCCTTTTGCTTTTGATTATCTTCTTGTTTATTATGATAAAACATTTCCTCTGCCTTTTCTTTTAACTTGAAAATTTCCTCCTTTTTTTGCTGTTTTTTGGTTTTCCAATTTTTAATAGACTAAATGGTAAGAAAAAGACAGCAAGTAAAAGCGTTTTCAGATAATCAAAACTATTTGAAAATAAAACCTCAAATAAATGTCTCTAAAAAGAATACAGATTGCAGGAAGCTAGTTTTCTAGGTCTTAGAGGTTTGTTTGGTTTGGTTTTGTTCTTTTTAATCAATGCAATTTATTATTATTATTATTTCTGTTTTGAGAAAAAATTTAAAGAACCTTTAAAAAATACTAATGGTTGCTTTATACTTTTTGACCATCTCAACATCTCCAGGCTCAAAAGAACTATCCCTCACTTACTGTTCTCCTCTCTTTCTCCCACCTCTTTTATCTTCATAGGCAACATCCCTTCCCTCTAATTATTTCACTTCTGCTTCCAAATCCTCTTTCCAGGCTTAAAATACTTTGAGGAACCTTCCTCTGATCAAGTATCAGAAGAGGAATCAAAAGCAGTGTGGTTAAGAGCATGGGTTCTGAAGTCAGACTAATTGAGATCAAATTCAGACTTTGTCATTTACTAAGTTTGACCTTAAGTGAGTCATTTCTCTGACTCATTTTGCTCATCTCAAAAGTAGTTAGTACCTCTACCATAGAATGGTTGTTCTAAACAATGAGTGCCTGACACATAGTGTTTCACAAGGATAGAATTAAAGTTAAATAGCTCAATATTGTTGGCTACCAAAACAGTTGACTCTGATTCCTGGTGACTTTTTTTTTTTTTTAATATGCCCAGTCCTACAATAATCCAAAGAAAATAGAAGGAATACAGTCACTGTACCAAAAGGAAATGGTTGATGTTCAACTGTTTCAAGAGGTAACATATGATCAAGAGCCAATGATACTGAAGGAGGAAGTCCAAGGTGCATTGAAGGAATTGGCAAAGAACAAGGCACCAGGAATTGATGAAATCAAAATTGAAATCTTTCAAGAAAGTGAGGCGGCACAGGAGGCACTCATTCATTTATGCCAAGAAATGTGGAAGACAACTGTCTGGCCTACTGATTAGAAGATATAACGTATTTGTGCCCATTCCAAAGAGAGGTGACCCAACGGAATGCAGAAATCATCAGACTATCTCTTTGATATCCCATGCGAGTAAAGTTTTACTAAAGGTAATACAGAAATGGCTGAAAGCATGCATTGACAGAGAACTTCCAAAGGATCGCTGTGAGTTGGTACCAACTCGATGGCACCTAGCAACAACAACAAACATCATACTCATAACTGCTAGCATGTTCTAGTTTATTGTTGAAGTTCGTAATCCAATCTATTTCACCGAGGTCTCCTCTATCCCCATCAGCCCTCTACTACATCAAACACAACGTCCTTCCTTTTTAAATGATTGATCTGGCCTAATATGTCGTAAGCAAGCAAGTTGGACAATATGATAAACTGACAGATGGTAGTGGAAATAACACAGTTGTTGTTGGTGTTGTTCACACCTTCCAGCCACTTCTTGGAAATCCTATACAGGTTGCTATAAGTCAGAATTGTCTCAACAGCACTAACAACAAGAGGGGGCCAGTTTGAGAATGCCATTTTCAGAATCCTAATAAAAAGTTCAAATAATTCTTAGTGGCCTCTTATTTGGATCTTTAAAAATGGCAAGTTTTAAAATTTTTCTTAAAGTCCCCCAAGTCAATCTTACATTCAACTTAGTTTAGAAGACCACAAAATAAAAATCCCAGTAACTTCCACTAAAACTGTAGCCTAAACACAGAATCTCTACACAGAATCAGTATTTTGCTAATACTCCCTATGCATGTCTATCAAATATAGTTGAATGTGGTTGTTATTACTGAGTGTCACAGAGTCAGTTCCAACTCATAGCGACCCTGTATAGGGTTTCCAAGGAGTGCCTGGTGAGTTTGAAGTGCTGACCTTGAGGTTCAAATAGAACTGTGGTCCAGGGCTTGCTTTATCCCACAGCACCACACCAGGACTCCATCTGTTGACTAGTCGACATATTTTTTCATCAAAGCAAGTCAGGTGAAGTTCATCATAACAATTCTATATAATAATGATTCAGACTTCAACTATTTAAACTTTGGTTCTCAACTGGGGATAATTTTGCCCTTCATGGGACATTTGGCAACGTCTAGAATAATTTTTAATAATATTACTGGCATATATTGGGTTGTTGTTGTTAAGTGCCGCCAAGTCGGCTCTGACCCACAGTGACCCTGAAAGGGTTTCCAAGGCTGTAAATCTTTATGGGAGCAGAAAGCCTCATCTTCCTCCTGTGGAACTGCTAGTAGTATTGAACTACTGACCTTGAGGCTAGCAGCCCAAATTGTAACCACTACACTGTAGCTTATTGGAATGCTGCTAACCATTCTAAAATACTTAGGGTAACCACTACAACAAAAACTTATCTAATCCAAAGTTTTAGTAAGTGCCAAGGTTCAGAATGCTTGGCCTACAAAAAAGACAAAATAACTTTTTATGATGGAACTTAAAATTCAAATTTGTTTTTCTAGAATTCTCCTTATTGGATATGATAAACATCTCAAAATCACAATATAAAGAACTTTAAATTTTGCTTTTAATAGTATATCTTATTATTCTTGATTCATATGAGGCTTGTTGTTGTTTAAGTGCCCTCGAGTTGGTCGTTACCCATAGCGACCCTGTATAGGGTTTCCGAGGAAAGACTGGTGAGCTTGAACCACCGACTTTGTGGTTCAAATCTACTTTGCAGGCCATCACATTAACCCATAGTGCCATACCAGGATTCCATACTAGGCTTATAAAAGATTAATATTTTATTTAAAGTTAATGATTGAAAACATATCCTAGGGATTTGCTACAATCAAAGGTGACTCTTTTCTCTAGAATAGTCACAATTTTCTGTTTTAAAAATAAGCAATGAGGTATTGGTTGTAAAACTCAAAAGAAGTCTGTAAGAATCAAAGGGTTTTTTCTATTGCCTTTATTTTCTATTCAAAATAATATGGCTTTTCTTAGTAAGATGATATTTTAAAAAGTCTAAATAGATCTGGACTACCAACATTTTGGGGAAGTGAACATAAGAGTATTTTGCCCACAATCAGTAATTTTCTGGCCCACTGCATTTCTTGGGGTAAAAATGTTCAGCCTTGAGGAAGTCCAGATATAGTTGTAATTACTTGGGTAAGTTACTTAGCATCCTAATTATGCCCGTTTCACCTTCTATAAAATGGTGAAGGAAGGGGTGCCTATTATAAAGATATCTGATGGGACTGTTGTAAAGTTAGTAGTATATGTTACAAGTTTAGCACAGTACCTAGAACATAGGAACATATAACATATAATAGCCATTATAATTATTACCTCTTTTTTTCTTTCTTCTAGAGCCAGATATTTTTGATACCATTTCTCATGCTGCTGAATTTCATCCTGTGTTCTTCCAGGAAGATGTTCTAGAACTTCTCCCATAAATATTGGCTTTCCTTTATATTTGTTTCTCACTTTTACAAAGTTCTGGTGATCATAATCATCCCAGCCTCCTTGTCGCCCTCCTGTTTGCTGAAGGAAATTTTCAAAATCGACCACTTCTTCTGGAAGCGTATTTGGTGTTACTTTGTCTATAGGAACTTTGCTTGCCATTACTCTGAAGACTCGCTCTGTTTCTGAATTACCTAAAGCCCATATGTCAATTTTCCTTGATATGGCACTCAATTCATTATTTGTTGTTTTTTCTTCTTTAATAAGCTCTTCATATCTAAAAATTTTAAAAATAAAGTTTAAATTTTATTTCAAATCTTTATTTTTTTCCCTTAAATATAATTATTCCTGAACTTTTCCATATCATCTTCTCCATTATATCCTCCTTCTTTACTATACTTTTTCTCTCCTGCCAAGTTCTCAGGTTTCTCTGACTTAACTGCTCAACTGTTTTAACCCAATTTCTAAGCTTTCAGGATGGCAACAGACCAAATCTTAACACTTTATTTATTAACATTTACAGCCTTAAAGCATTTTCTCAGGGGGGAAGGGGAGAGATCCTTAAGTGAGATTTTATGGTGTCTAAAAATAAATACAACTTTACTTTAAACATGAAAATCTATCTAAAACCTAAAACAAAGGAGGTGTTAATATTGTTTTTCTGAAGTCTCATATTAAATATATAACAATGAAATGGTTTGTATATAATAGTCTAGTGGAAAGTTATCAAAAAAATGAAGATCAATATATTACATCAAAATGGCTTTGAAAAACATACATCAACCTCTGCTCTTCTTTAAAAGTGTTAATTGCATTTTCAATTTCTTCCATCATTTCTCTGAGCTTTTCAACAACTGTAAAAAATTAAAGGGAAAAGATATTTTGTCATATTTCAATAAGGCTAAGAAATTAAGAGAAACTGGAATGCTACCTTAATTAAAAACTTGTTTTTAATTTAAGTGATATGAAAACTGTACTCAAAAACAGATTTTTCTGATTATATATTTACGAATCAGGCTGCTAACCTCAAGGACAGCAGTTCCAAACGACCAGCTGTTCCACAGGATAAAGATAAGGCTTATCTGCTCCCATAAAGATTTACAACCTCGGAAACCCAGTACAGGGTCGCTATGAGTTGGAACCGACTCGACGGCATATAACCACCACCACCATATTTTTATTTGATTGTGTGGATTTTTTTCTATGTACACACATCATTATCATTAATATTCTATTTTACAAAAGTTGTTCCATGTTTTACAGTCTGTAGTTTTGACTCAACAAAGAGTTGTAGTTAATTTTGTATCTCAATATACATACAGCAATACCTTTCTTTTTATTGTTGTTAAGTGCCGTCAAGTCAGTTCTAACTCATAGTGACCTTGCATAGGGTTTCTGAGCAGTGGTTGGTGGGTTTGAACTGCCAGCTTGCAGTTAACAGTACAGTGTTTATCTTACAGCACCACACCAGGACTTCATTGCCTAAATCTACCCTTTGTGTTAAAGAATTTTCAAGTGAAGAATTCTTCCACCGTTTTCAGTCTGCAATTGATCAAATATATGATCAAGATGCATTTTTAATTACTAGTGATTAGAATGCAAAAGCTGGAAACAAATAGGAAGGATCTGAAGTTGGAAAATATGGCCTTGGTAATAGAATCTTGGTAATAGGATCGCATAATAGAATCTGCAAGGTCAATGACTTATTTACTGCAAATACCATTATTCAACAACATAAATGGCGACTATGGAAAACGCAGGACTCAAACTCACTACATTTGGGGGCAGAAATGATGGAGACGCTCCATAACATCACCCAAAACAAGGTGGGGTGGATTATGGAACAGACCACCATATGGTCATTTGCAAGATTAGGCTGAAGCTTTAGAAAGTTAAAGCAAGTCCATAAGAGCGAAAAATATGACCTTGAATATGTCCTCCTGAATTTAGGGACCAGTTTTCATAAACAAACTCTTTTTTGATGACCAAAAACCAGAAAAATTATGAGATGACATCAAGAACATCATACCTGAAGAAAGCAAAAGATTATAAAAAAGAAAAGAATGAAAACACCAAAATGGATGTCAGAACAGACTGTGAAATGTGCTCTTGAATTTAGAGATACTAAAAGCAAAGGGAAGAAATGATGAAGCACAAAGCTGACGGGAAATTTTCAAAGGTATTTAGAATAGATACTCAAGTGTTATAATAAAATATACATACTGGAGTTAGAAATTCAAAGGGAAGAACAGGCCTTTAAGCATTTCTCAAGTTGAAAAGAACTAAAAAAAATCAAGTCTCAGGTTGTAATACTGAAGGGTTCTATGAGCAAAATATTGAATGAAGCAGGAAGCATCAAAAGAAGACAATACACAATATCACTGTGCCAAAAAGAACTGGTCAACAATTTTTAAGTTCAACCATTTTAAGAGGTACCTCATGATCAAGCACCCATGGTATTGAAAGATGAAGTCCAAGCTGCGTTGAAGGCACTGAGGAAAAACAAGCCTTCAAGGAATTGACGAGTTACAAATTGAAGTATGTAGCACTAGAGACACTTACTATTCTATGTCAAGAAATTTGGAAGACAGCTAGCTACCTAGCCAACAAATTTAGAAGATCCATACTTGTGCCCATATATGAAAGTTGGTCAATAATTAAGACAGACTGTAGAAGAACAGACGTATTTGAGTTATGGTGTTGGAGAAGTGTATTAAAAGTACCATGAAATTCTAGAAGAACTAACAAACCTGTACTGGAAGCAGTGCAGCCAAAATGCTTCTTGGAAGTGAGGATGGCGAGACTTCGTCTCTCATACTCTAGACATGTTATCAGGAAGGACCAGTCCCTGGAGAAGGGCTTCGTGCTAGGTAAAGTGGAGGGGTAAGCAAAAAGGAGGAAGACACCCAACAAGATGGATTGGTACAGTGACAACAGCAATGGGTTCAAGCATAACAATTGTGAAACTAGTGCAGGATGGGAAAGTGCTTTGTTCTGTTGTGCATAGAGTTGTGATGAGTTAGAACTCACTCAGTGGCACCTAACAACAACAAAAGGTCACAGTACTGATCGATTATAAGGGAGTTTCCTTAGGATATGGTCTACATTACCTTTTATCTTACAGTAGTTAAAAGGAGACACAAGTGAGCCGAGAAGGAGGACCTGATTACCACCAAGAAAGAAGAGCCAGAATCAGAGGAAGATAGATGCCAAGACACATGGAGATCTCTGAGGGACACCAAGCAACAGATGTTTGAAGGGGACCAGGACTTTCCCTCAAAGGTGACAGAAAGAAAGCCTTTCCCTAAACCTGGTGCCCTGCATTTGGATTCTAGCCCTTACACTGTGAAAGAATGAATTTATTTTTGTTAAAGCCATCCATTTGTGGTTTTCTGTTATGTCAGTACTAGGTAACTAAAATACCAATGTTCTTGTCTAGTATTTGTTTTGTTTATTCATTTAACAAGTTATGTTAGTATTACTTTTTTTAGTGCCTACTCTGGTATAACTGGGTATGCAGTGGCTCCATACAATAAGAACTGGACGATGAACCACACGGTCCGTGGTTTGAGCCTACCAGATGCTCCCAGAGAGAAAGATGAAGCTTCATGCTCCCACAAAGATTTAAAGTCGTGGAAATCCTATACAGGGGTGCTATGAGTCAAAACCTACTCCACGGCACAACATGTTTTAACTACTGCATCAAAGACAGACAATACCATGTCTCAAAATATATTATTTCGTCTCCCCCAAATTCCTAACAAAGAATCCCATGGTTACCTCCATTTTACATAAACCTCAGGTATTACAGTTCTCCAGTATATCCATATTAATCTCTGTTGAGGCAGCTAGCTCCATTAATACCAAATAGAAAATAGATACATTGTACAGTATGCATTTTAACAATAGAAAGTAAAAATACATAGGAAAGAATACAAAATTTAAATGGACTTACAATCAGGTGTAGGCTTCACATCTTTTAACTGATGCTGAAGTCTCTTTACATTATTATGTATTTTGGCCAGTTGTTGCTGAATTTTTGCTCCTATAAGGAATAAGGAAGTATATGAAAATAATTATGTGACAAAAGTTATAATTCAGGATTCTACACAAGAGACTGATCAGAATCACTTAGAAAAACGTTGTTGTTGTTGT